TAAGCTCTCCCAGACTTAGGTGCTACTTTTAGGCCTAAAATACTTTGTGAATTGCTCTTAGTGAATAAAATTAGGAGTCCTAAATTTAAGACTGACACGCCCATTATGCTTAGGAGTTTCTCCTAAATTCGCCAGTTAGGAGCTACTTTTAGCCCTAAAATCCTTTGTGAATACGGCCCCAGGTGTATATCAGTATGTATTGTCTCTACTTTAAAGAGTCCTCTCCTGCTGATGTTCAGGTGTATATCAGTATGTAGTGTCTCTACTTTAAAAAGAGTCCTCTCCTGCTAATGTTCAGGTATATATCAGTATGTAGTGTCTCTACTTTAAAGAGTCCTCTCCTGCTTATGTTCAGCTGAATATTGGTGTGTAGCGTCTCTACTTTAAAGAGTCCTCTCCTGCTGATGTTCAGGTGAATATCTGTGTGTAGCGTCTCTACTTTAAAGAGTCCTCTCCTGCTGATGTTCAGGTGTCAGTATGTAGTTCTTTTTTTGTTTTCATTTATTGTTTTTTATTTGTATTGCCCCTTTTGAAGTGCTATTAATTAAATACAGCATGTTTTTTTTTTAATTGTTATTTATCTTTACATTTTTGCATTTAATTTGTATTTAATTATATATTTTATTTAATTATATTCAATATTTTTGCTTTATATCATGTTATTGTTATTTCATTTGTATTTATTTATGTATATTTCGATAGTTTTTTTCCTCTATGTATTTCTTTCTTTTAATTGAAGTGTTTTTATGAATAACTCCGCAGTCCCTGCAGGCAGAACATTAGAGATTATAATGACAGTAAATTAAAGCCCTGGAAACCATTTATACCTTTAATCACAATAAAAACATAATAGTCTTTATAACAAGAAGTAAACAACACATATCCGAAGGCTCAGTAATTAAACAGCGAGGGTTAATGGGGTAATTATCACCTTTTAATATGTTTCCTTTTTACCATTCGTTGCACATTTTTGATAGAGTAGTTTGTGTGACTGTGATAATAAGGAGCTGAAAGGACGTCTAAATCAACGGTAACATATGAAGGGATTTTCAAAATAAAGGCTGAATAAACCAGCAGCAGCATTCAAAGCTTAAATATGAAGGGATTTTCGAAATAAAAGCTGAAAAAACGACCAGCAGAGTTTAAATCATCATCGTATCTTTTATTCAAAGCTTAAATATGATGGGATTTTCAAAATAATAGCTGAAATAACCATCAGCGGCAGCATTCAAAGCCTAAATGTTAAGGGATTTTCAAAATAAAAGCTGAAACAACGACCAGCAGAGTTTAAATCATCATCCTATCTTTTATTCAAAGCTTAAATATGATGGGATTTTCAAAATAAAAGCTGAAACAACCACCAGCAGCATTTAAATCATCATCGTATAATTTATTCAAATCTTGAATATGAAAGGATTTTCAAAATAAAAGCTGAAATAACCAGCATTGTCTCGTTTATTCAAAGCTTTACTATGAAGACATTTTCAAAATAAAAGCTGAATCAACCAGCAGCAGCATTCATAGCTTAAATATGAAGGTATTTTCCAAATAAAAGCTGCAACAACGACCAGCAGCGTTTTAATCATCATTGTGTCCTTTATTCAAAGCTTTATTGTGAAGACATTTTCAAAATAAAAGCTGAAACAACCAGCAGCAGCATTCAAAGCTTAAATATGAAGGGCTTTTCTAAATAAAAGCTGAAACAATGTTTAGCAGCAGTTAAATCATCATCGTCTCCTTTATTCAAAGCTTTAATATGACATTTTTTCAAAATAAAAGCACAACACAGGAGAGGAAACAAGGCAATAATACTAATTAAGTGAAAGTCCAGCTGAAATTACAAAACCCTGACATGACTCAGCAATTTATGACTTCCTGTCCACCATCTTAGGCTAATGCATTCCCATTAGCTTACTGGTTATTAGCTAATGGTAGCATGCTAACACATTACCTGCTTAGCATCTTCACTGCTGTCAAGAGGGTTTTACTTTAGCAGAAAATAAACATGCATTTTAATTGCAGTTGGACTTTAAAACAATAATATTTCACGCTAATATTGCTAAATAGCTAATACTGTACAAAAGCTACAACACCAGTGCTATCTGTTTACAGGACTGGGTGCTTCACTCGAGATCATCTCTATCGGCTTTCAGAAAGATAAGGGAAGTGCAATTACAACAAAAAACATGCAACAGCAAACACACACACACACACACACACACACACACACACACACACACACACACACACACACACACACACACACACACACACACACACACACGTCTTCATCAGGGATTCTTCTCTCATCGCCCGGTACCTGCAGGGTTCAGATGAAATGCTAGGGAACACGATGTAAAGGGTTATGAAGCTCAATGTCTCATTAAATATTAAATAAATCACTGATTGTGCCGTAAACTGTAAATTAAGTACTTGAAGTAAAAGTACTGATTAGAAGGTTTGGTATTGGTTTGGATTCATATCACTGCTGCATTGTGTTGCTGTAGAAGCTTTCACTTCCTGTATATATGTTGGCTATCTGCATATAGTTTGTATGCATCATATTGCAAACTATTATATACAATTATAATAATAATATTTTTTAAGGGGCCTTTCAAGACATATGTTTATTTACTACTTTTTTTGGGGGACTTTTCCCTTATTTTTTCACATGTTTTGGTAATTTTAGACATTTCAACATATTTTTAAAACATTTCTTTTTTCTCTTTTAGCGTTTTACTGCTGTTTGACGTTGTGCTCATTGTAACTCATTTTACTAACTGTTGGCTGCACTGGAACAAATGCTGCTCCAAAAACAGGCTGTTTCCACTTGAAGTAAGGACACAGCTCTGCCAATAGAACGAGTGACATTTAGGAAGATTTATGTATTTCTAAGGGATATTTAGATAAATCTGATCTTGTGGGAGAACTAATTATTTTTAACTATATTTGCCCAGAATCAGGACATGTTGAGTTACAATATGAGCCGCAAATGCTCAAAATGGTTCTGTTTTCTGATGCTAGCTGGTGACTTGCATCTGAGATAAGACTCAAAATAGGAGGTTTTGACTTAACAAGAGGATGCATTGTCTAAAAACAAGAGCCTATATCTCACTGCAGTGTCACTTCTGAAGTTATTGTGACTCATATCAGGAGGAGAGACACATTCTGAATAGATATTAGACACATATACTGCGGGCAAGATTTTGAGTTTTTATAGTGTAGACCTATCTGCAACAATGCATCATATTCTATATTAGAAGAAAGTACATTTTCTCAGAAAATCTGTTTTCAGTTTTGTGACGATGCTTTTTTGCAAGAGGCTTTTTAAAGACTTTATTTAGGGTCAGGAGGAGAAACATTCAACATAATGTGAAATCTAACAAAAGCTTCATGTTGTACATTTTCCCTGCTTTGTTTGAAAATAATAATAACGATGATTATTATTTTAATTATCATAGTTTATATAAAAGTAAGATGAGAAATGAAACTGTCCTTACATCTGAACATGGACTTATAAGAATTATTTATTTTACTTTTTTCTTTTCTCTTCACCCTGGAGATGGGTGTACACACAGTATGTGTATGTGTATAGAGCATTATGTTTATCTGTGTGCGTATTTAATGACATATTTATCTTTATTAATTTATCCTGCAACTGGATGTATAAACTTTGCTTTCTGCCCTCCTGCTTCTACTAATTTTGGTTTTATGGTCGGATTTTGTCTATTGAAATAGTAAAATAAATAATATATATATATCAAGTACCAAAAGTTGTACTCAAGTCAAAGTACTTTGCACTGCCTAACACACGCACTGCCTCCCTGCCCCATGCTTACTTTAGTCCACTGAATATAAATGAAAGGAAACGGCTCCACATGTAACGCATCCATCTTTCCTGCAGCCTCTGCAGAGTCTCCTGCTCTCCTCCCCTCAAAGCCTCGGGCTGTATCCCCTTAATGAGAAACTCCCAGAGAGAGGTGTAGCATCGCGGAGACGTTGGAATACAACATCTATCCGTCTTAATGCACACTTCCCACGTTTCGGCTTTACATGGAGGAAGGGACCGAGAGAGAAACAGCACAGAGAGGAGGATGCTCACTTCGTCCCTGCTGCTGTTCCTTGAGTGCCCGTTTTATCTGAGATAAAGGACACTTAGTGATATTTGTTCTCTGCCAGTTAGACCCTTAGGCGACCGTCCTCTTTATCCCCATGCACACACACACACAAACAAACACACACACTTTAAATTACTGAACACAGGCCCTGTATCCTCTTGACTTCCGCATGAAATCATAATCAAATCATCGTTCTTCAGAGTCATTGAATATTCGATTACAGCGTATTCTTAAATAACATTAAAGATAATTGATTTGGCCACTTGACTGCGGCTTTCAGAAACTTCCCCTCTTTGTTCCTTCAGACGACAATCTCCTCCTTAATGTACAAGTGTTTATGTCTATTATGAGCAAGGTCAATCCCAACGACTGCAGAAGTAAATAAATCCTTCGGTGCGAAACCTAATTCCCGGCACAGTTTACTCTTGAAGGCTTTCCTGGAGTCGTGGTTGAAGTTGGTTTAAACGACCGGGTTGAAAAAAGAAAATGTCCCAAAAATAGGTGGAAAATATTTGAGAAGTTTACAAAAAATATGTTAAAAAGTTCCAAAGAATACATGGAAAGAGTAGGGTGTCTATGTGATGTTTAGTATGAGGATCTTAAATGAACCAGGGTATACATGACGTACTATCAGTGCAACCTATAAATGCTTTTAATTTGAATGAAGTTTGAACACAGGAGAACATTTAACATAAATATGTGCAAAATATCTGAGAAATTGACAGAAAATGTGTGGAGGAAATGTGGGGAAAAATGTTAAAAAGTTCCGGTAAATCGTCAGAAAAAACAAATTTGAGATGATCCGTACCTTTACCACATTTGCTCAAAGAGTTTCTCCTGTAGTCTGTTCTATAGGTTTTAGTGTATGTACATGGTCTTGAAGGCCTTCCTGAAGTTGTGGTTGAATATGGTGACATTTAGGAATGAAGTCTGAAAAACACACGAGAAAAGGTCACAAAAAAGTATGGAAAAAATGTGAGAAATTGACAAAAAGATTTGAAAAAGATTTTGGAAAATGATGTTAAATAGTTCCGAAGGCATAAATGACAATATTTGGAAAAGACAAACTTGAGATGATGAGTACCTTTACCACTTTCGCTTAAACAGGCCCTAAACAAAATATTCAAAAAATATTGTAATGAAATCTGGAGGCATTTTCCCAAAGAAGGAAAATATCTCAGAAATTGACAGAAAAATATGCGGAAAATATATGTAAAAATATTCCAAAGGAAAAAATGAAAACAGTACGAAATACCTAACTTGAGATGATCCGTACCCTTATCACATTTGCTTAAAGAGTTTCTGTTCTCCTGTAGTGTGTGCTATAGGTTTCAGTGTATGTAAATGGTCTGCAAGTGTTTGTATCAATCGTGTTTATAGTCAATAAATCCTAATTTCCAGTCTAGAAGAACGAGCCCTTGGTGTCCCTGCACAGTATCCTCTTGAAGGCCTTCCTGAAGTCGTGGTTGAAGATGGTGTAAATGACCGGGTTGAGGCAGGAGTTGCAGTATCCGATCCAGAAGAAGAAATTAAACAAAGGGTATGGGATGCTGCAGGTCTCCGGGCACACCGCCTTCAAAGAGTAAGAGAAGAAGAAGGGGAACCAGCAGATAACGAAGCCTCCCATCACCACCGCCAACACGAAAGTGAAGCGTTTTTCCCGGTTCGCCATGGCTTTGCGGCGAGAAGTCGGCGTCCCTTGGATTTTTTCCTCGGGTACAACTTTGGTGCCAGAAGAAGAAGAAGTGGCCATTGTTTCTTTGTACCTACAGGACAGGTTTAGCATCTTGACTTTGAACCCTTTCTTTCGGGACGACCCTAATGTTTCCGATTTGTCCGTTTCGTCTTTGCCTTCATCGGCCATTTCAGAACCAGAGTTGGACGAGTTCTCGAACGCTGCTTCTTCTTCCTCTTGATGTTTCTGGGACTCTTTCTGGGGAACAGCTGAAGGGATTTGGGGGATTTGGGGGATTGAAGTGTCTTGGATTGGCGTATTCTCTGGAGGGTTTCGAAAAGACGACTGGTTTGAATCAGAGCCAGAGATTTTAGCTTGGACCTTTTCCCGTTGGCTGCCTCCTTGATCCCCGTTCTGCTCGGATATCTTCGCAGGACTCTCATTGGCCTTTTCTCCCGTTGTCGCCTTTTGCTTCTGTCCTGCCGAACTTCGAGTATGCTGCTTTGCGATCTGATAAATCCGCACGTAAACCAGGATCATAATCACACAGGGGGCGAAGAATGACCCGATGGTGGAGTAGAGAATATACCATCGCTCGTTGTTCAGCTCGCAGACTTCTTCACCTCCTTTGCTCTTGTCCAGAGAGAGAAGAGGCGGGAAAGAGATGACCGCGGAGATCAGCCAGACTATAATAATGGCCGCTTTGATTCGCGTCGGGGTTCTTTTGGCGCCGTACGTCACGGGGCGAGATATCGACAGGTAGCGGTCCAGTGCTATCGCGCACAGGTGAACAATGGAGGACGTGCAGAAGAGAACGTCCAGCGCCAGGTAGATTTCACACCTGCAACAGAAAAGCATTTTACTCACTGTCATAATAAACACAGGGCTCTCTGGGCTGACTGAACTTTTTTAAAGAAATACAATGAAATACCATAAAACAACAGTTTTTTCTCGTATTTTTTGTCAACTGAAAGTCGTCATTCCCATATTTGAGAATATATATGTAAAAATTCTTGCATTTTTAAAGCATTTTTTAGGTTGTTCCAATAGTACCTCATTTATATGTTGGCTATAGTATAATCTAAATAAGATATCACATTGAGAAAAGTAATTGTGCTTAATTTTAGGCTTTGCAGACCATTTACATGCACCAATACCTATATCAATTTCTCAGAGTTCATTCATTTGAGAATATATTTAAAGAATTCTTGCATTTTCAAAGCATTTCACCTCCTTTATATATTGGCTATATTGTAAGAAACAATTGTGCTTATTTGTAGCCTTTAGACCATTTACATGCAGCAAAAGCTATAGAACACACTACAGGGAGGTCAAAGCATTTTTTAGCATTTTGGTTTGATTTCTATTGTACCTATAAATTGGCTATAGTTGAATTTAAATAATTGATCACGTAGAGAAACTACCTCTGGAGGGAACATTGTGTCATTTTAGCCTTTGCAGACCATTTACATGCACACAAACACACTACAGGAAAGGCAAAGCATTTTTTAGCATTTTGGTTTGATTCTTATATTTTGGCTATACTTTAATTAAAATCATCATATGAGATATCGCAGAGAATGCTGTAATTGTAGCCTTTGCAGACCATTTACATGCGCTGAAACACACTACAGGAAAGGCAAAGCGATATTTGATTAAATAAAAATGCCTCCACACACCACACGGAGCTGAACGCCCAGTAGCCCTGCAGCTCGTTGGCTAACGAGAACGGGATGATGAGCGTCGCGACCAGAATATCTGCTGCCGCCAGCGACACCAGGAAGAGGTTCTGAGGACCTTTGAGCGAACGAGACGTCAGGACGGCGATGATGACGAGGATGTTCCCCACGATGGTGAGGAGCATCATGGAGGTGATGGCGATGGCGAAGGCAGCGGTCGCCTGCGGGCTGTAGGGCGAAGAAGAAGAAGAAGATCTGCCTGTACTCCGGTTACACGGACGGGTACCGGAGATGAGGCTAAAGTTCCTGTTGGGGAATCCGGAAAGCTCCGAGAGGCAGGGGGCGTCTGGAGATAATGCCATGCTGGTGACGGGGGTATTATATCCAGTTTCTTTGGAAAACCATGGACAAAACAGGGGATCCCCAGTGAGAGGAGGAACCGTCCGTCAAGGGGAAGCCATGAGATCTAAGAGAGAACATTTGGAAGAATCCAGTTTATTGCCATTACACATACAAGGTATTTGCTTTGGTGTATTTTAGATTAGATTCAACTTTATTGTCGTTGTTTACGAGTACAATGAAAAAAGCAGTTTGCATCCAATCAGAAAGTGTAAAGACAAACCAAATATGAATACATGTATTTTGATACGGTGCAGATTCAGAGCATATACATACAGTATAAGGGTTTAGGCTTACAGAAGTGAAACGCACCAGCCTTATGTTTGCACATGGAGGCTCAAACGTAAACAACATAAGACGATAAGTATTTGTAAGAGAAGAAACGTGTGTCCGGGGAGAGGCTACAGGTGGTCTCACAGTGCAGATACATGGGGGTCTTCATTGATTCAAGACTCAACTTGAAGGCTCAGGTGGAAAAGGTCTGCAACAGGGTCAAATTCAGTCAAATGTGAGGTTTACCAGAGACTGCATGTCAACAGAGGACATGCACTCTATGGTTCCATCTCACATCACCTACTGCTTAGCAACCTGCTCACATGCCGTACAATACTCTCAAACCCCTGGACTCATGATTCAAACAAACACTTCAAACACTAAGAGATCAGTTCATTCTCATCTTTGCCCAATACTCACAAAGTACAACTTGCTGAGCTAGGACAATGTAATGAGATATGGAAATGCTTGCCTCGTATTCAAAGTAATACACGGCCTCACCTCACCTCCGCTCAGACACCATACGCACACCTGTAGGTCAACAAGAGCTGCACCCAGAGCAGACTGCGTTGTTCCATTAAGGAAGAGCTCATTCAGCCAATCTTCTTTTTCTTTTAAAGCTGCACAACAGTGGAACTCAGTCCCCGTAAAGATTAGAGAACAAAACACCTGTTTATTTAAATCTAACTTCAAAACATGGTTAGTGGGGAATCAGCTCTGTCAACACTGACACAATGTGCACTTTGCAACACTCCGTCTGCACACGTGCCATGACCTGTGGCTATCTGGCTGCTTTGTGAATATCTCATTTTGTTTTTATGTTTTTATATATGCTTTTATCATAATATAAGCATCTATGTTGAATGTTGTTTTACTGATTGTATTTACCTGTCATTTGAAGTGACATTTTTTTTTAGGATGACTTTCAACATCTGTCCAGGGACTGCAGATGAAAAATAGCCTGTTGGCGCATTTACAGAAATGTTAATCAATGTGCACTGTCCCTGTTGAAATTAATACAAAATAAATAAACAACAAGTCTGATAATCAGATTTAACAAAATCTGTACATTAACTTGCATTGGTTTAGTTTGAAAGAGGCCATGTGATGCCTTGGGGGTTTTCCCTCTCCTGTAGTGTGCACTATAGCTTTTAGTGCATGTAAATGGTCTGCAGACGTTAACATTTAAAAAGAGTTCATTCCAGACACCGCCCACCTGTCTTCTTCTCTTTCCTGTTGATCATGTGACGACCGCTCAGATGAATCCGGTGACCCTTTGGAGGGGAACAATCCCTATGTTGGGAACTACTGCACATAAACTAGTTTAAATTTGATTTGTATTATCTATCTAAATATGTCACATAAACTCAGATGTTTCTGCACATTTGGTCAGCATCTGTCAGGAACCCCGACTTCTCCTATAAGCCACTGTGTTGTGTTTTAAATTCTGCACATGATGCATCCGACACTTTCCTTTCAAATCTCATTGCTTTAAGTCCAGATGTAAAGAAGTGTCTTCTTCTCTTTCCTGTTAATCATGTGACGACCGCTCAGATGAATCCGGTGACCCTTTGGAGGGGAGCAACCCCTATGTTGGGAACTACTGCATATTAACTAGTTTAAACCCCTAATGCACTAAACTAGTTTAAATTCCCTTCAAATGTCACAGACCAGATGTCAGAGACAGGAGACATTGAAGTGAACTGTGGTTTTTAAACTGAAATCCATTTGATGAACGTCCGTGCAGGAAACCGGACTTCTTCTGCAAGACTTTATGTTTCATTCTGCACTTGATGCACCTGATTGCTTCTGCCGTCCTCTTCTCTCTTGTCTGTAAATTGCTGCAGGTTTGCAGAGAGCGCTGCCGTGGGAATCGTGAATTATAAAGCACTTATAAAGTGAAAAAATATAAAATGCTGTAAATGCGGCCGTTTAAATGCGGACCTCGTTTCCTTATCCAACGCGAGGTTCCTAATGGAAAGCCCACATTGTGGCGACACTCCGCTCCATTATCGCTTTCTGTAGGAGGTCCATCGTGATGGCGTGATGTGTCCGTTAGATTTAATCAACCTTTTGTGATATGATCCGTTTCATAAGACGCAAACACCTGGGGCCGTATTCACAAAGGATCTTAGGGCTAAAAGTAACTCCTAACTGGCGAATTTAGGAGAAACTCCTAAACATAATGGGCGTGTCAGTCTTAAATTTAGGACTCCTAATTTTATTCACTAAGAGCAATTCACAAAGTATTTTATGCCTAAAAGTAGCACCTAAGTTTAGGAGAGCTTAAAAGTCCTCGAGAGGACTCCTAACTCAGTAAGACCTATTCACAAAGAATCTGAAAATGGCTGCGAGACGAAATGTTTTGGAGACAATGGAAGACTGTGAATTGATCAAGAGATATAGGCAAAATCGTGAGGGTATCAAACTTGTTGTGGAATTAGTGCAGGACGCAATAACATCCCCGACTAACAGGAATAACCCGATTAGTCCGGAAATAAAATGTTTGGCAACACTACGATATTTAGCAACAGGGAAAATGCAACTTTGCAATGTCGACGATTTAGGAATATCGCAACCATCAGTCAGCCGTGCCATAAACCAAACCATCAACGCGCTCTCTAGACCACATATCATCCAACAGTTTATCCGGTTTCCTTTGGACAATCAACAACTACACAAGATCAAAGCCAACTTCATGGCAATGCAGGTATGCCCGGTGTGGTCGGTGCTATTGACGGGACGCACATAAAAATAATTGCGCCA